TTCAATGTCCAAAAAGAGGGCTAGTGTGGTTTTGTTGTTATTAAATCTCAGGGTAATGCGTTCAATGATGCGTGTCAGTGCGTGAGTGGTTGAGTGACCTTTTTTAAATCCATATTGCCATGCGAATCATACGAAACGTATAAATAAAAAATTAAGAATTGCCGATTGTTTAAAACACCGCGTACATATATATACCATTTGGCTGGTCGTGAACTTTACATACCGTTAGCAGTTGTCTGGGAAGTAGTTCTCAGAAACTGAGACTGCGGGCGTATCAGTTGCACGTGGTGGAACAGCTCAGTGTTAACGAAAGTGATGGAATACGACTTCTGTTTGTAGTTCTTATGATGACGCCATCATGAACAGCCTTGTCTTCAGTCATAGAGCGATGTTCCATCTATTAGGTTGAGTGAATCAACTGGACCCTGTAATCTTGAATGAAAACTTGTATGTAACATGAAAGACACTGTCCCACGATCCGCGTGTTTCTGCAGTGTCTGAAGAAGAATTTTACCGTTCTTCCTTCTTCGCCAAACCCAAGTTGTAGCTGTCTTGTCTCACCATGCAGTTGAATGACGAAGACGTACCAAATCGCCACGGCAGTGTGCATAAACAATGTTAGTTATGCAATTTTAAGTGTCTTCTGAACAATTGTGTATGCTAACAAATTTGCCTAAATTTCAGCACACTTAACTAGTTATGCGTTATTATTACCTGATTATAACTCCAGTCAAAGGTATCGCGCATGAGAATTAAGTAAAAATGTGAAGAAGCACAAACATTATGTAAATAATTTTTAAAGATTTAGTTCCTAACTGAGAAAAGTATACATTGCAAGGCCATTTGGTTGATGGTATTTAAGGAAGTAGTCGCTCTTTATTCTAAGAATCACACAAAACCTAAATGGCCTTGGCATCTCCTTCCAAATGCGTTTCTTTTCAAGGGACATACTAAAAACCGAGTACTGGTTCGTACGTTATCGACGTTTCAGTCGTCTTGGCTGTTTTCGTCATCATGGTGATCTGATGATGGAGGTAGCAAGGCATCTGAAACGTTGT